CTATGTTGACCCTTGACCCCTGACATGATTTTGCAACTCCTTAAATAGAGGCTTTTGTATTATCATTTATTTGATAGGAAAAGATAAGCTGCTTAAGAACACTCTACTATGCAAGTTGGAGAACACATGATTTAAAATACTTTTTGGAAATAGGCTTTGCTATAAGCAAGAGGCCTAGTAAGCATGAGCAGTTCTTATAAGTTGGCATGAGTGTTTGACCTAGGTTCTCAAGTTACAGGGGCTTTTGGCAATATGCATTTTTGGGGATAAAAAAGTAAACATGAACAAAAGAACAAACACAAGAACAAAACATGCTTGAAATAATAGATTTCTAGAGGATTTTTGAACATTTAACCATGAGATTAACCACATCAATGTGTTGGAAATATTGGAAAATGTATTGATACAAATAGCCTATGTCAGCAATTGGAACCCCAGTTATGTTTCCTTGGAATGCCACATGTGAACAGGGGGCTGAGAGGTAATCTAAACATGGTCACTGGACATGTGTAGGTTGTAACCTTTTGATTTATGTATTCCCAGTTAGTAGTGTAAAGGTAAGGAATAAAACCCAGCTGAATTCTTTAAATTTCAAGCCTTCAGGGCGGTTACAGATAATGTAATTTAGTGGAGGACTGTGAATGACACGAGTGATAAAATTAAAGACATTATTTAAAATAAAGTGGTTAGTTATAGCAAACAGGCATTACAATATTACCATACACTCAGTGATGAGCTCCCAAAATCCTAATAACTGGTTCCCTACCGGGTCCTCGGCGGCACTTCGGTGGCGGGGGGGCCTTCACTCGCTCCGGGTTTTCGGCGGCGGGTCCTTCACCCGGAGCGAGTGAAGACCCCCCACCTCCCCCCACCGCCGAAGTGCTGCCAAAGACCCGGTAGGGAACCGCGCGGTGAGTACAAGCCCCACATGCCTGTCTCCCCTCCCCCCACCCATCTGACCCCAACCCACTTCCTGCCCCCGACTGCCCCCCTCAGAACCCGCAACCCATCAACCCCCCCACTCCTTGTCCCCTGACCACCCCCTCCTGAGACCCCTCATCCTAACTGCCCCCCAGGACCCCACCCCCTACCCAACTCGCCCCGCTCCCTGTCCACTGACTGCCCCGACCCCATCCACCACCACCCCGATAGACCCCCGGAACTCCCACGCCTACCCAACCCCCCCGTTCCCCGTCCACTGACCACCCCCCCAGAACCTCCGTCCCCTTCAACAGCTCCTTGCCCCTTACCCAACCCCTCCTCCCAGCCCCGGCCCCCTTACCATGCTGCTCAAAGCGGCAGGAGCTGCAGAGCTGCCCAGAGCACTGGCGCCGGCGGCGCAGCACGCTGGGGCTCTGCAAGGGGGGGGAAACAAGGGAGGGGCCGGGGGAGCCTCCCCAGCTGGGAGCTCAGGCAGGCTGGACAGGAGTTTGCCCACCCGCCGGCCCCTTTACAACCGGTTCTACACCGGCTTCTAAATTTAACAACCAGTTCTTGCAAACTGGTGTGAACCGGCTCCAGCTCACCACTGCATACACTGCATTTATACTCACATTCTAAAATGAAATGATGCATCCAGGGGGATCAGTCCCTGAATGGGAAGAATGGGTATAATCCATCAGTGGTGGATGGGCATCTAAAATCAACCTTCTATACTTTTTATAATCAATTATAATACCACTCTTTAATTAATTAGCATTAAATCCTCCTTTTTAATCATAATTATTTTTTTCTGCTTTCTCATTGGCTGTTTAACATTAAGCATAATTTTAATTAACATCTACATAAATGCCATACCAATAACTATCTATTTCCAAAACATTAACATTTTATCTAAAACTTATAAAAAAACAATTAAGAGCAAAACATGTTTACAACATGACCTGGGGCTACTTTGCCTCTGAATTGTCTCACTTCACTAGCTTATATTCTACTAGGCCTCAGCATAAGCTGACATCATCTCTATAGGCTACAGGTTGTATAGGACAAGGGGTATAAAATAAGGTGTATGTCTAACCTCTAGTGCAGTGATTCTCAACCTGTTTACCATTGTGGGCCACATATGTGGCTCTGAGGATGTCACATCAGTCGCAGGTGTGTGTTGAATGGGCCGCAAGCGGCCCATGGGCTGCAGGTTGAGAACCACTGCTCTAGTGGGTTCATCAAGGTGACAAGATGGCGGATGCCTGAGCTTCACATCCCCTTATGATGGTATCCACTTACTGTTTTCTTCTCTCTTTGTTTCCATAGGGTTATGAGTATGGCATCATTGGGGGTTGGTACAATCTGCGTATCTATTTTCTTATTGCTAATGCTTATGTTTGGAGTTATTTGGTTATTAAATAAAGTTTTTATGGTTCTGTATGTCTCTCACCCCCAAAAGCATTCTTAAGAATAAACTTACGTAGCCTCCTCGGTAAAGAATCTGTTGTTGGTGAATTGTGTAATTTTGCATGCTAAATTAATCCAAGGCTATACCTCCATACAACACCTAAATGCTGGTGATTCAATAGACAGTTCCCTTGTCTCCAACTTATCAATACTCCAGTTCCTGTGAACACTGCTAAAGAGCAACCTTCTGCTGAAGATGCCATCTTCCAATTATTGAGAATCCGTTCCATTTTTGGTAAATGGATGAATGTTAACCCCATTGTTCTAGTCAAATTTCTACTTCAGTAACTATATTCTGTCCACTTATATTCCCTCTGCAATTACCTTGGGGTGGAGGGAGACATTCTTTCTGGCCTAAACCATTATGTAGTTTTGTTGTCTGATGTTAAGGAGTTACTGTATATTGAGGGTGCATGAAATGTAAAGTTTGTGTAAATCTAAAGTCTATGGAAAGTTTACCAGTATTAATGCACTTGTGGATCCTTTAGGATACCGAGTTGTTACTGTTAGGAATTAGTACTTTGGTAACATATATAATAAATTGCTTCATGATATATTGACAAAGGTGGGAGATCATTAATCAGATTAAATACTGCATAAATATCCTCCAAATTTATCTTGTATGATGGATGACATAACTATCAAAATAAAGACTGTCCTGCAAAATTTGGGACAGATGGCAATACAAGATGACATATTTTCTATAAAGTGACAAACATTTTTAGTTAGAGGCAATGTGATTGGGAGTACATTCCTGGATGCTTTATTAAAATAAAAAAAAAAAACAGTACAACTCACTTGCATGAACACCTGTTAAGAATCACTTAAAAGAAGTAAATCAAATTACAATGAAATCATTTAAAATAATGATTTTTAAACGAAAGAATAGGATTTCTGTGCACAAATTGGTTAGCAGTTTAATGTGGCTATGGTATACGTTAAAATGTTTTGTTCAAGTCAGTATGAATATACTTGTACTTAGTTTTAATTTGAAGTACATTGAAAAACAAAACATTCCTTTTATGATGTGATGCTGCAGGAGCTGCATGTGCAGAACAGATGCATAACTAGGCCAACTGTTTTCTGCTAGATCCTGAATTCAAGATTCTATATATCCCTCTGTCACTTAAAACTGTGAAGGAGTAGGAATGTTAAGCCAATATCACAGACAAACTCCAGTTTTGAGAAAGCAGGACACACTCTGCTCTAGTTTAATAGTCTGATATAATCAGCTATGGCAGAAGAAACAGAGTCCTGAACTAGAGATCCAGCAGGTAACTAAAGGAGTGACTGATTTTCTAGTATTTTAGGGTGTCAAATGTATTTGCCATTTCTAAAGTCTAGCTTTGTTTTGTGATTTGAAATCTCTCCCAGGTGTGTGTTTTGTTTCCATGTATGAAAAAAAATTCAAGACACCTTTTCCCCATTGTCCTTTGTTTGTTCCAGAGGTCAGTGTGGATATTCCCAAATATCATCTTGTTTCAATTCCCATTACCACCTTCAAGGCCTCATATTGTTGTCAACCTTCTGTACCACCCTTATACTGACCAGGGGGAGTCACTGCAGGGTGAAGCATGGCATGTGTGTTTCCAGGCCTGAGCATGCACCTTTTGCACAACTCTGTCCTTTTGATGGCCTAAAAAGTGAGATCCAGGAAGTGAATCCGAAACTCACGGTTGTACCAGCACTAACCACATTGCCACTTATCCAGCTCTTGCACTTGACCTTCAAAATAATATTTCTGATAATCAAAACATGCACATTACACCTTCTTACATGGAAATATATCTAAATAGTTGTGACTAAGCAAGTCTCTACTGTGCTGTTAGTAAAACAGGCAGTGATTGTTATTCAGTTATATTATTCCTTCCAATCATTGTAAGTTGTGACCAGGGTCCTAGTGAGGAGCCAGCTATGGTCACTCAATTAGGGTGAACTGCAAAGAACGGGGCAGACAATCCCCATAAAGCTGGTGGATATTCCAATACTTAGATTTACCAAGCCAGGATAAAACAACTTCTTTATTACCTTACTGGTTACTCAGAATTCCATACAATACAGCTCCTTAAAGTGATCCAGCCTCAGGCCTCCATCCAGGTACCCACGTCAAATATGATGAAAATTTCTGTAAATCTTATTTCATCATATAAAAGAAAAGGTTCTACCAATCCCCAAAGGATCGGACACATTCCCTCCCAGGTTAATGAATGTTTCAGATCTTACCCAAATACACGCTACAGCCAATTCTTATTAACTAAACTAAAATTTATTAAAAAAAACAAAAGAGAGAGAGAGAGTATGTTTAAAAGATCAATATTCATACAGACATGAGTTCAATCCATTGAGGTTGTAGTTGCAAAGAGTTCAAACTTCCCCTGACAAAGCTTAAGAAGATCTGAGATGATAGAATCAGGACCCAAAGATCTTTTATACAATTTCATGTCTTTTTGACAAGTTGGAGTTCCTCGGGGAACACAAGGTAATTACCATGACTTTGAAGGAGGTCCATCACCAGTACTTAGCTATATGAATTAACATAAGGCCATTTGCTTGTTCCTCCACCATTCACAGTACATTTCAAAGAGAAATGAATAAGAAGATATCCCGGGTTTACAATTCATTTAAATGATATCAGAATACAGCATAGACCAGGACTGTTGATTATATTGTTGACCCTACTCATACATATGTAAATACACAAAAACACAAACATGTCTTTTGAGGGTTATTTATTTTGCAGGATGCTTAACTATGTTTCTAGCCATGCCTCACATAAGTTAATATTGGTAAGTTGGGAACCACTGAAAGAGGTCCACTGCTGCCACTTTAAACACTGCTCAACATTATAGAAATCTCAGCTTTAATGGGTTAAAAAAGCATGGATTTGTTGTGTAAGATGTTGGAATAGAAAAAAAACAATGGAAGTATCGCTGTGATTTGCCTCTCTACATTTATTTCTACATGTGTAAAATGCCCACCTGTTCAATCATACAGGTACCCTTGATAATTTTGTTACAGCTGGTTTGCAGTAGGATTAGATGCTCTTTGCATTAGGTTGTAGATGTAGATATGGTTTCTGTAGTGATGGGGCAGACTGCAGAGATCTATTGGCTGCTGGCTTTGTAAATTTCATTCAGTTTGGTCCAATAGCAGAAGGAGAGAGACTGGTACAGCCTGGACCTCTCTCCCTCTTCAATCTCTCTTTTTCTTGCAGATCAGTCTCTCTCCCTGTCTCTGTGTCTCTGCATAGGCAATCAGAGCTCTTACTCACAAACCCAACTCTCCCTCTTGCACTGATTTTGTAATGAATTTTCTTCCTGAATGTAGGTCGTTTACAACAGTAAGCGCCAGTTTCCTCCAAATCCAGCGTTGTTGTTGCTTTTTTATTTTTATTTTTTGTGGTCGTTGCATTCCTTTGGACAAGAAAATCGCGTTGGATTCCAAAAAACAGAGGGGAGCCTTGTTTGAATAATTCCTGTTGTCTGATATCCTGTCAGGATTCCCTGGAAGAATTTGGCTGAGTAAAAAAGGACCTCCGTGCAGCTGCAGCTATCGCACTGTTAAGGTAGGTATAGTAGATTTAAGGTTTGTGTGTTCATGTTCATTTTTGCGGGGGTTGCAGTGAGTTCTGAGGCAGAGGGTGATCAGTTTGCTGCAGTCGTTTATGCTTTTACTTTTCCCGTCATTTTTACGGCGATACTTTTTCTGTCCTCTTCCCCGTCATAGGCTATCTTCATGTCATCTGTGCAGCTACAGATCTAGAATTTGTCTTCCCCTGGACCATCATTTGTTTGGAGGCATTTTGGTGCAATCAGCTATTTGAAAAGGCTCTGGGGCTCTGTGTGAGATGTTTACAAAGTAGCTCTGCCTAACAGACAAATAAACAGAAGTGTGTGTGTGTGGGGGGGGAGAGAGATATCTGCAGTACAGGGCGAGAGAAAGAGCAAAGCTACAGTTTTCTGCAAACGAGATCAGAGGCAGTGGAAGGAGCAGGACCTCCTGTGTGCACCGGTGGTGTGGAGGGAATTACAGAACCGGCACGTAGGGCGGGCTTGGCTTCACCTCGCTGTGTCCCCCTCCTTAAAAAAAAAAAACCAACAACCCACAGCTTGGCTCGTCTTCTATGGAGCGATTCACCCTCTTTTCTTCTTCAGCGGCTGGGCTCGGGTAAAATGCCTGCTTTTGTGATGCATGGGTTCTCACACGTGATGGACTGGAGCCCGGCACTCGCGAGGGAGGGTGGCTGGCTGGCTGGGTATGCGAAGGGAGAAGCGACGGGGGGGAGAGGGGGGACGAGTGTTAAGAGAGAAATAAAGGGGGACAGAGGAAGGATCCGGAGGGGGAAGAAGGAGGGGGATCGGCTTCCCTGCAAAGCTGGGGCTGGGGGGCGGGGGGGACTGGCGCGGCTAGTGGGCAGTGCTGGGGTTGTGTGTGTGTGTGTGGGGGGGGGGGTGCCTCATGTGGAGCCTCTCCGCACTCCTTGGCTCCGGGTTGCACCTTCCCTACGGGAAACTGCTGCTGCCCCAAACTCTCAGTGTCAAACCTGCCGCCTCCCCGCTCTCCGGGGGGAAGTTAGGCACCGCAGAGCGGCTCCCCCTCCCCTCCCCGTCCCCCGCTGCCCAGCCCCGTGCCCACGTCCCCCGGGGCCGTCCTTGCCTGCCCACCCCTCCTGCACTGCAGCGGCCCCATTTCCCTGTCGCCCCCCCCCCATTGCCTCTGCAGGGTGCTGTGATTGATGATCTGTCCCTCCTGCAGCCATCAGCCGGGGGGCGCAGTGAGAGCAGCCGCTGAACTTCTACCTCCCCCTCCCTTCTGCCAGACCCTGCGCCAGGCGCCTTCCCCCGGGCCGCCCCCGCCCCGCGAATGCTGCTGGCGTGTGGGCTGGGGTGGGGGGGGGGGAAGGCTGAGCCTTGCTGGGGTCCCAGTTGCAAGAGGAGTTTTTTTTTGGAGGGGGCGGGTAGCAGAGCGATTCCCCTTCCCCTGCTCACTGCAGCCACTGTCTAGCAGTCCCTGCTGCAGACACGGTCCTTGCCCACCCCGAGACTCAATAGCCCCAAGCACACACCGCAGCCCCCCCCCAATCTGGCCCTCCCCAGGTTACACCGCCTAGCCCTCATCTAGCTGATCCAGGTGATGGGGATGCCTCAGGCAAACATCCCCAGCTCTCCCGGCCGCCCCACACGCGGCAACTCAGCTCCCTCTCCGGCAACCTGCCCCGCAAGCTGCAATGCCAGTAAGTTCCTTCCTCCTGGCCATGAGTCCCTTAGCCTTGGCTGCTCACCGTCCCCAGTGCAACCTGTCCCTCGGTCTGTGCTGCCTTTCTCTGCCTCAACCTCACCCCAGCTCCCAGTCCCCAGCTAATTGCCAGGTGTCCAACGCCTGCCTTGACTGCAGAGAGCTCCATTTCCCCCCTGGGAGGGGTATAAGCCAGGGCAAGCATCCTGCAGCGGCCACTCTGTTCCTGGGTCCTTGGGACTTCTCCTGACAGCTATTCCAGTCCAGCCACAACAAGGGGACGCCTAAAGGCTAACACCCACCTCAGGGTAACAGTGCCCTTATTTTCAGCGGATTTGGCTCAGCTGGAAGAAACTGGATCCTCTTTTCCTTGTCCTGTCCCCAGCAGAGGCTCTGACTGCTGCAGGTTTCACAAGTGGTTGTTTTACCGTTTTCCTCTTGAAGGAAAGATCTCTCCCCCTCCCCCCATTCTCCCCTCCCCCGGTGCTGGGATTCATTGAGACAAGGCTACATTTGATTTATTATTATAATTTATTATGATTATTTTATCATTTAGAGCCAGGGCAACTATTTAGAGCGAGCAAGAGAGAGGAAAATAAAGAAACCCAAGAGATAAGTTAATCATCTGCGCTGTGGGCCTACCCCTTGTTTTCATAAAAGAAACTAGTAATAATAGAACCCTTATCTATCCCTGAAACTAAACTAATTTTAAATATTAAGCAGGGAAAAATAACTTTGTGGAAACAAGCAGGTGCTGTTCTTGCAAGAAAATTCCACAAGGTGGTAGTGTGGATACTTCCTAGTGACTTTTAATTTTATTTTTGAGATTTGGTCAATTGCTTGAAATGTTTTATTTCCATGTATTCCACCTCTGTATCTTAAAAGCCCAACTGCATGTATGTTTTAAAACTACAAAATCATGTTGGATTTCAAATGGTTTAACATCCAGGAAGCATTTCCTACCTCTACCTTCCCTCCTTTGCGCAGTCCTCAGAAGCAAGGGAACTGGAAAGGTTTTAAGAAAAAGTTTTCAAAAAGTGCAGAATCTGGATGTGTTTGAGACATGCAACAGCAATTTCTGTCAAAGGATGGCTAATGGAATGAAATGTGAAAGTCCCTATCTGTATTTTATTAGATAGATCAAGTTTCCGGATTAAATTGTAGCAGTCCAGTAATTCAATAAGTAGAGGCAGAGACTGATGTGGCCATTTAATCTATTATATTAGATGCTTTATATTTAACTTTTTGAGTCCATAGGCTTTATTGGGGTGTTGATGTTTACTATAACCACAATGATGTAAACAAATGTTCATCTTTGATACTTTGTATTTAAAAAGTAAGGAAATATTTGTTGATTCCATAATCATGCTTCATCAATTTTTTGGAGAAAAAAATCCTTAAATCTAGGCTGTATTTTGATCCCAAATGATTAATAGCGTTAGGAGTGTGTTCCTGTAAGTAGAGGAAAGGGATTCAAAATGCAAGGGCAAATGGATGAAATTGTTAGTAGGTACGCTGAATGGAAATCTCCAGTTCATGTAGCATGGACTTCTCTGCAAATTTAAATCATCTCAGTTTGGTGGAAGGGTGGTAATCTACATCCCATGCAATACTAATTATATTTATTCATTATAAGACATTTAAAATCCTTTCTTATTATTAATATAAGAAATTAACTTTTTGTGTTACCATAGAGAGTTGATCATTATATTCATCAATTGTAATTAAGTGGATAAAAAACTCAGGTTTACGCAGGTGGGCTAGTTTCATACTTAAAATTAATCCTTTTTTTATTTTCTTATGAAAAATATATTTGCCACATCTGTTAATATTTTACAGAATGGTCTATACATATTATTGCCTTCAGGAGGGTTGCTGTAATTCTTATCAGTTATGCTGCTGGAGACAGGATTGTATACTATTAGTCATAAACCTGTTCCAACTAATCATTAGATACCATGGATGTGAAAAGGTATTATGAATGTTGTGACTTACCAATAGGTCATTTATGCAAGCAAAATATTTTGATGGTATTAGAACAGTACATTTCATGACAAGATATTTTTATGATAATTCAATCTTTAATTCTGACATACTGGTTCTTAGCAATTGAAAATTATTTTTCTTTTGTTTACAAGTCACGTTTATTTTTTTCTCTTCTGTGTGCATAGATAACACACAACTGCAACTACCATCAGTGTTTTTCTATTTGGGCTATACTAGGTATCATAACTGAAACTGTGGTTTTGGCATCCAAAATATATTTCTTTGATCCTGTTTTTCATCTAGGGCTTGATCCAAAGCCCATTGAAACCAGTGGGGATTTTTCCACTGATTTCAGTGGCCTTTAGATCAGGTGCATATAATTTATTTTGTTGTCTGAATAGGATTTGTAACATTTCAGAATGCTAACATTTCTAATTGAGACTGATGATTTGCCTACTACTCCTTTAAATAGTAACATTACAACACAAAGTCAAATATTACAAAATGCTAGTACGTACACTGTAAACACAGACATCTTTTAAGCCTCATGCTAAGTGCATAGGATATTATTTTTTCCTTGTTCAACAATGCAGAGTGATCAGTTAAGACAATTCTTGTTAGAAAATACACAACAATAAAAAACTTCTCAATAAAACTTCTAAATAATATAGGATAATTGTATATTGGATTGGATTAAAACAGGATAATTGATACAGTGGATAATTTACCAAAAATGCTACATGCATAGCTTCATTGTCACAGATGCTCTTTTCAGCCTGTTTAGTTAGACTAGTGATCTTGAACAGGCCCTTTGACTCAAAGGAATAGTGATAAAGGGTTTGTCAAAAATGGCTGTCTTAATATGCAAATTCCAGCTGAAGGTCATTACCAGTCAGTTAGAAAGGAAGGGAAGAGGCAGAAGGAAGAGCAGCTTGATAGAAACTATAAATTTTAAAAAAAATTGTATAGAAACAGTGCTTTGTTTAACATGAAAAAGTAATTGAACACTGCATAAAGGTGTGTACTTCTGCTTTTGACAGGTTCTCAATATGGCCTCCACTTGGCTTTTCAAAGAAGCATGCTGTTCTTTGACAGCTGAATCACACAATGTAAGGAACAGATCCACCTGGGTGGGACAGGAAAAGCATCACTCTGTAAACAGCATAGGATTTAGTCATTCTGCTGTTTGAAGACTTGTCACAAAGCACAAATGTTCAAGATCTCTTTTGTGTGACCAAGATTCATTACAAATGCACACCAGACTTTGAATCTAAAAAGAGGAAAACCTAATAAAACCAAAACATAAACATGAGGCTGGCAATGAGCCACTCAGATCATCAGGAA